CCTTCCCCTTCCCAGTTGTTGACCCCCCAAAAAAAAAAAAAAAAAAAAAAGGAAAAAAAAAAAAGATCTTTCTGTACTCTCAGTCCTCATCAGAGGTAGTCCAGTGCCATGGCCCATGCCTGCCATTGTGCAGGGGGACAAAACCAAAGACTGCTCATGTGGGCCGCCTCTTGTCTGTGCTTCTCCTAGCTACAGATGAGAAGAGGCCATCACTCCGCCCACAAGGAGGACTCATGTATGAATTTGGTCAAGTACTGAGGGCCGAAGAGGGCACCCCAGGAATGTTAGCAGAGGGAGTTGGAGAAAGGCATGGATTTAAGGTTCTCTGCACACCAGTTTCCCAAAAGAACTGAGCCCCGTGTGTAACCTCCCTCAGCTACCGAGACAGCTCCAGCTACTGAGATCTTCAAAGGACCAGAGGAAGTGACAGCAGCGCGGTCCTCTTCTCACGACTGAATAGTCCGCTCGGATTAAGTTCCATGCTAAAGTGGCTCATGGTAGATATTTTCAGGGGAAGGTGGGGGTGAGGTAAGGACAAGGCTTGTAGGTGACAAAATACTCCAGCGACAGGGGAGCCTGTGGCATCTTCTGGTTGATGGTTATGTGTTTCGGCCAATGGCTATGAGGACTGTAACGTGCGCCCACCTGCTCCAGAGAGCACAGGATCCAAGTGGATGGGACGGGAGTAATCAGAGCATGCCAAAGCCCTCGCAACCCTCGCTGATGGCCAGCTGCAGCATCCTGTGCACCTCTTCATATGAGTCATACGTTGGGAGGCACAGCTGGTTAAAACTGGAAGGAGAAGGGGAGACATAATTAGCTCATACCACCAGAAAGGCTGCCAAGGGCTGGAAAGATCACCCCCCACAGAACAGGCATCAGGCAGTCAGACACCTACCACGTGTGTGCAGTTGGTAGGGTGCTATGGGTTGGAGCAGCAATGATCTGAAATGAGGGACAGAGGGCAGCGAAGCCTCCAGGTGGCAGCTGAGAGGAACCTGTTGTGAACTGAAGTAGCCGGGCCAACTCCTCCTGGGTCAAACTGGAAACCACAGTCCAAAACCACCTCATGACCTGGCAGGGAGAGCACAAGACTAGGACCATATATGGCCTGTGGCCATATACAAGGCCATATACAAGACACCCTGGAGTTACTGTTCTTTGAGGACAGAGGTAAGAACAGCTAGAGATGACAGTCCCTTCAGGTGACTGTAACACACCGAAGAGGGTGGTCGCTCATTGCCTGATTCTACTTCTTCACATTCCCAATCAACTGTTCCCATGAGAGCCAGCATGACAGCCCTTGGGGACCAGTGCTCCCTTCTACCTGAACTACCACCTGTTCTTCCCATAGGCATCATTTTTTCCCCCCAGTCAACATGTCAACTTCTTTGACTCCTCTTATTTGTTTCTATTGTAACATTTTCCTTATAATACAGAAATCTAAGTGAAAGAAGTGTGGCCCACTTGCCTTCTCTCTGAAGTGCCACGAGCCACCAACCACCACTGCATGAGCTTTGAAGTCAGACACACTGATGTCCCCAGTCCCACACATCAGAAGCTGGAGAAAGATGGTCAAGGTTACTAGGACAATCAGAGGGATGAAGACCACTTACTTGTGTTAACATTGCAAAATGCAGAATAAAGAAAAATACTGAGAAAAGACAAAAGGTGAGGTCTTAATGATAGAATATTGCTTTAGGAAAACCAACTATAAACTAAAATAGGCCAATGGCTCCAAAGCAGTGTAGTGAAATACCACAAAGCTTTTAAGAAAACACACAGAGATGCCTGTGGTCCTAACCTAGACCTACTGAATCAGAATCTCTAGGGAAGAAGTAATGACCTCATGTAAGTTGAAAAAGTTTCCAGGTATTTCTGAAGAGCAGGACTGTAGTGATGGGTTATTTTTAATTCAAACAAAAGATTCAAAAGTGGACCACATGTTTGCTGCTAGTCTGCTCTAAACTTGGCCTGAGAATACCAGGGAGAGAAAGAGAAGTCCTCTCCCTTTGATTAAGACCCCCAACTCATTTATAAATTTGAAGACAGCCTTTCCTATTTCCCAGGATCCAGCCTTCTTTTGTGAATTGAACTTTACTACTTTCCCTTCAGTCCTGTTTCTACTTGATCAGATAAATATTAGAGTATGCCCCAAAATGAGAACATGAATGACATCAGAGCCCTAAACATCTTGTTGATGTCCTCCTTTGGTTCAGGATCCAGCAAGGTACTTAGCAGACTGTGAGACCTCATCTAATAGCCATGAAGGACCAGCAAGTGGCATGGTGGTTAAGGTGCCAGACACTCCCACATGGCTGACCACGGTTCAAGTCCTAAACCTAGTAACCTTCTCGCTTTCCCTTTCTCCTTCTCTCTCTGTCTCTCTTTCTCTCTGGTCAAATTAAAATGAATAAAATTAAATAAAATAAATCTTTTAAAAAGTTATACATTCTGACTGAGAGACAAGAAAAGCCCAAAGCAAGCCTGAGGAGGAGCCTTGGCTCATTCAAAAAGAACTTGCTAAGCTAATGAGTAATAAGAGCAGGATGTGGAACTGTAAGAGACTGTCTTTCTGTGTGAATACACACATACACACATACATACACACACACACATATATATACGGGGATCTTCAAAAAATTCATGGGCCATGCAATTATGAAAAATCTCTGTATGGGGAACCAGCAGTTAGCGTAATGGCTATGTCGCTGGACTCCCACGTAGTCGACCGCGGTTCGTGTCCCAGACCTGGTGGCTTAAAACTCACGCCGGGCGCATGTGCATGCGTGCCCAAGATCCCGAGAGGAGAATGGAGGAGAAGGGATTGCGGCGTGACCATCCCCCCTGGGGGGTGATTTCTCGCTTTCTGTCTCTATGTCTCTCTCTGTCTGTCTGGCGAGCGCACGTGCCCTACAGTGAAAATCTCTCCAAAAAAAAAAAAAACCTCTGCATGGATTTCAATTTTTTTGTGTGTGGCACCAAAATAAGCCCACATTTTAAATCTACTTTTCTATGAACTCTTTGAAGTTTCTTTGTATGTATAAATCTATATAGTGTTGTAATGCAAAAATATGACATATGGGCACATCTTTTGGCCTATCTCTCATTAGAATCTAGCTCCCCATGCACATAAAAAAGGCATAAAAAGGTGATAATAAAATGCTTCTGGGCAGTTGTCTAAGGAGGGTGGGATTTCAGATGAGCTGTGTTTTCGGATTTTCTGTACTGTATGAATGATTTTCTAATGAGTGTATCACATATGTAGTCAGAAAAGCCAATAAAACATTTTCATTGTATAAAAAAAGGAGAATGTTGTTTGATGAAAGTGGGGATGTTGTCTTATTGATTGGGATCTCCCCAGCACCTGAAAGTACATAGCAGACAGGAGGCACTCAACATACACCTGAATAAAATTAGATTATTCTCTTAAATGTTATAGGAGCGTATGAAAACTGTACATGATATCAACTATAGACATATATATATATATATTTTTTTTTTTTGGACAGGTTTTTGCTATAGGACACATGCACTCGCCAGAAAGAGACAGACAGAGAGACAAAAAGTGAGAAATCACCCCCCAGGGGAGATGGCCACCCTGAAATCCCTTCTCCATTCTTCTCTCGGATCTTGGGCACACACATACATGCACCCAGCATGATTTTAAGCCACCAGGTCTGGGACTCGAACTGCAATTGACTACATGGGAGTCCAGTGACATAGCCATTTCGCCATCTGCTGGTCCCAATACCAACAATCTTCACTACGTAGACTCATATTCAATAAATAATTATTATTCTTCATAAGTAATTGCCTACTTGCTACTTTTTAATTTTCACATTCTAGTTTTTAAAAAGCTGAAAAAAGAATTAATGAATGAAAGGGTAACAAAAATGAAACTACTCTTGCCTTTCAAAGGGCTTTTGGGCCACATCTCATAGAAGAAGATGCAACAAGCTAATTCTTGGGCATCACTAAAATGTCGAGTCAAGAACAATAGTTTGGGGACCAGTAGATGGCGCGATGGTTACGTTGCTAGACTCCCACATAGTTGACTGTGGTTCATGACCTGGACTTGGCAGCTTAACTCACACTGGGCATGCCTGCATGCGTACCCAAGTCCCAAGAGGAGAAGGAAAGAAAGGGATTGCAGCATGCCCATCCCCTGGGGTGGGGGGTGATTTCTCGCCTTGTGTCTCTGTCTTTCCAGCAAGCACATGTGTACCCTATAGAAAAAAAAAAAAAAAACTCTCTTAAAAAATTTAAAAAAGAACAAGGGTTTGAACTGCAAGCACTTACCTCAAGTTCATTCTCATCAAAAATAGCCAAAAGATTCTCAGGGACCAACTCATTTAGGCCTGAAACAAAGAAGCCAAGTTAAAGCCATATCCACAAAATGGATACAGGCATTTTAACCTCAAGGCCAAGGGTAGACAGGCTCATACCTTTAAGGAAATGTTCCACCTCTTCTTTCACTTGACTGGCAAGCCGATACTGTGCCAGCAAATTTAAATAGAAGATTTTATTCGCATTGGTAACTGGGGTTTGCGCTCCACCTGTCATGAGTTCTACGACCTGAAGTTAGAGGCAAAAGACAGACAAGGAGAGGTTGTGGATGGAAGTTTACATGACGATATCTGTCTGCTGTGATCTACAAACATAACATTATTGAACTCCGTCAATGTCAGTCAAGTTTCTGCTTTATATTCAGCTTTTCAACATACTTGGTTTTATACAGTTCCTATTCTTCAGGGTCCTACCATTGCTGCACTCTACTAGCTACTCTTTCTTTCATTTAAAACATTTTTTTAATTTTAAATTTTTTTTGAGAGAGAGTTTTGCTATATGGCAAGTGCGGTCACCAGACAGAGAGAAAGAAAGTAAGAAATTACCCCCCAGGGGGGATGGCCACGCTGCAATCCCTTCTCCTCCATTCCCTCTTGGGATCTTGAGTATGCATGCACACGCACCTGGTGTGAGTTTAAGCCACCGGGTCCAGGACTTGAACCACAGTCTACTACATGGGAGTTCAGTGACATAGCCATAATGCTAACTGCTGATCCCAATTTTTTAATTTATTTTTTAACTGCCTGAGGGTATGTGTGCTTAACAGAGAGAGAGAACAAGAGAGAAAGCACCTACAATGGGACACAGCCATGCATCAATCCCTTCTCCATTTCTCCACCCTGTCAGGATTTTGAGCACACACACACACACACACACACACACGCCCAATGTGTTTCTCAAACTGCCAGGGCTGGGATTTGAACCACACGGCTGGCCAGGTGGGATCTGGCTCCTTCAACCACCAGGCCATGGAGATGGCTCTCTACTAGCTACGTTTCTATGGTGGTGACTATGTGAGTCTTCTCTGACCAAGCAGTGGTAAAGCATCAGGAAGATATGGCTCCTTGTAGGCATTATTTTAATCTGTGATTCAAAATTAAGCCACTACAGAATTCTCTGGCTCAGAGTAAATAAATTCAGGTAAGTAGTGAAGTCTTATGTCTCAAAAATAAGATTAAAATAGTTGCTCCCCCACATTCTTCTAGCTCTGATGTGAGTCAAAAGAAAGATCCATGGCTTGTAACTGTTTTTTTCTTAGAGAGATTTCTGCTATGGGACATGTGTGCTTGCCAAGACAGACAGAGATAGAGACAGAAAGTGAGAAATCACCCCCCAGAGGGGATGGCCGCCACAATTCCTTCTTCTCCATTCTCTTCTTAGGATTTTGGGCATGCACACACACATGCCTGGTATGAGTTTTAAGCTACCAGGTCTGAGACTTGACTACAGTCGTCTAAGTGAGAATCTAGTGACATAACCATCATCTGCTGGTCCCAGATGGCTTGAAACTTAAGAGATCCCAGATTCTAATCACCAACCTGATACTAACATTGTAAGCAATAAATAAACTTTAGTCACTTAGCCATTTGGGCCCCCAACCTTCTTATCTGCAAAGAAAAAGCCATAAAATTCTCAGATAAAATAGTACCTCCCAATAAGCAACTTCTAATAGGACTCTAAGGAAGCCCTGAAGCACATTTTAAAACCACCACCCTGTAAAATTTGTGTGTAGTGACTAAGGTTGCCTTCTTAAGTGAAAGAAGGCCTCCATTTCATTGTAAGATTAGATCTTCAAGTCTTGACAACATCATAATGGAAATAGCGAACTACTCCATAGCAGGGATTCTTAATGATCTAAAAATGTAACATTTTTTGTTGTGTATAATTCTAGATATTTATGTCAATAAACATTTCTAATTAATAGAAATAAATCACTAAGCTTTTGTATTCATATTAAACCCAATAAACATGAGTACTCTGTTTGGCCTGGAGACCCTAATTCAGGATCTTGACTAGCTGCGTTGCTATGCTGGTCAGGAAGGCAGGCTCTGAACGAGGTCCCGTAATTTTCTTTTTTTTTTGAGAGATTTTTGCTATAGGGTGCGTGCACTCGCCAGACAGACAAAGAGAGACATAGAGACAGAAAGCGAGAAATCACCCCCCAGGGGGGATGATCACGCAGCAATCCCTTCTCCTTCATTCTCCTCTCAGGATCTTGGGCACGCACGCACACGCGCCCGGCGTGAGTTTTAAGCCACCGGGTCCGGGACGTGAACCGCGGTTGACTACATGGGAGTCCAGCGACATAGCCATTACGCTAACTGCTGGTTCCCAAGGTCCCCTAATTTTCAAAAAGGCCATCTGACTATTAGTAGAGTGGTACTAGTGGTTACTATTTTTCAGTCGGTGCTACTGTGTTTTTAATGACCTATTACTGTAGCTTTAGCTTCACCTTTATTATCTGATATTGCTTAAAGCCATGATATAAGCAGAAGCACCTAATCTTCCATGTAGTACCCAGCATTACAGAGCACGACCACTGTGCCACTGTGCTGAGGCTATCTGGCCGATTGTTTTCTTTTTCTTTTTCTCCAGATTTTACTATAGGGCATGTGCACTTGCCAGAGAAAAAGACACAGAGAAAGTGAGAAATCACCCCGAGGGGTAGATGGCCATGCTGCAATCCCTTCTCCTCCACTCTCAGGATTTTGGGCACAGATGCACATGCACCTGGTGTGATTTTCAAGCCACCTGGTCTGGGACTTGAACTACAGAGTCAGCCATAGGGGATCCAGCACCCGAACTTCCACTACCTACTGGCCTGTGGTCAATTGTTTTCTTTCCTTTCTTTTTCTAATTTTTTTTTTTTTAATTTAAAGGTTTTTGCCATAGGGCATCTATGCTTGCCATAGTCAAAGAATGACAGAGAAAGGGAAAGTGAGAAATCACCCCCCCAGGGGTAGATGGCAATGTCACAATTCCTTCTCCTTGGTCCTCCTCTAGGGATTCTGAGCGTGTACATATACATGCTCGGCATGATTTTCAAGCCTTTAGGTCCAGGACTCAAATCAAGATCAGTCATGTAAGAATCCAGTGCCTTAACCACCACACCACCTGCTGCCCCCCCACCAGTTTCTTAATAGAAAGTTTTAAAATATATAAGCATTGTGTCAAAAATGGGATTATCTACAGCGCCATACTAATAGGAATAAAGATAGGGCTAGCTCTTCTAAATCTGTTTATAGAGTCACATTTCATTATGATTCAGTTCTTTTTGTTTGTTCATTTGTTTTTGGAGAGGTTTTTGCTATAGGGTGCGTGCACTCGACGGAAAGACAGAGAGAGACAGAGACAGAAAGTGAGAAATCACCCCCCAAGAGAGGATGGCCAGGCCGCAATCCTCCATTCTCCTCTTGAGATCTTGGGTATGCACACACACGCGCCCAGCGTGAGTTTAGGCCACCGGGCCCGTGACTCGAACTGCGGTGGACTACACAGGAGTCCAGCGACATAGCCATTAGGCCAACTGCTGGTCCCGTCATTCAGTTCTTTTTCTACTGGAAGATAGAAATAAGGAAATAGATGGACACCTGTGACTTTTGCGCCACTCAAATCATAAAATATGGGATGCAATGCGCTAAAGCTGCACTCTCCAATAGGGCAGCCACTAGCCACATACAGTTATTTAAACTGGTAAGGTAGAACGAGAAATTCAGTTATTTGGCCATATATGCCACGTTGTTGGTGTGTAAGAGACACCATGCATACAGAACACTGCCACCACTGCAGAAAATACATTAGACAGCACTGCTCTAGAGAAAGCTGAGGAACACAAAACCCACAGGCTTCTGTCTGCTCTCTCACCTTATCCAGTTGACCTGATTTGTTGTATTTCTCTTCTGCAAAGACCAACTCCATCTCACTCATGTCATTATTTAGGATAAAACACACTTTAGATTTGTAGAATTCTGGGTCATCTGTTTCAAAGTACTGAGGAGATTAAAAACAAAAACAAACAAACAAAACACAGAATATGAATACTCTTGTCCAGAAATGAGATTTATAACTGCTTAGAACCACTTATCCCTTCAAACTTAATAATAACCTCAGGTGGAACGATTCCAGAGTTAATGGCCAGGGAGCATTAGTACCCACGTACACCTAAGATGTTACCTTGTAATGCATACGTAGTCCTATGATTTGGGCCAAGAATGAACGGGTGAAGCGAGCTCGAACCAACTGCTTATAGGCTCCTCCTAGAGAGGACTCATAGAGACACTTGCCCACCAGCCGCCCTGCAAACTCATACATCTTCAGGCGCAGATAAGCAGGGCGATTAGGGTTGGGATGCACCTGTCAAAGAAAGAAACTGAAAGGCCTTGGGCCATTTTTCTTAAAGCCTAGTTCTGGAAAGACTCTCTCTCCCCAACCCCATGCCAAGGGAGCAAGAATTTCAGTGTAAGGATCAAAGAACCCTTCTAATGACATTAGTCTAGTGGTAACCACCACTGAATAATTCAAAGTGACTAGAGGATAAAGGGCAAAATGGGACTTAAGTTGAAGAATCTTATATTAAGTTCGTAATCCATGCATGAATAAGGAAGTTAATCAGTGGATAATGTGATAACTTCTCCCTAAACTAGAACTTCCCTCAGCAAAGTTTACGTTCCTACTCCTGAAACCTCCACCTGGTCAAAGATCTGGTACCGAAATCAATTGCTTTTGGGATGCTTTAAGTGGCTCAGTTACTGGGTCGTCAGAAAAGTCATGACACGTTTGCCTATATAAAGCTTTTCTGATGACCCAATATTATTCTAATAATTTAAAGTAGAGTAGTCATTGTACTATAATGCTTTTCAAACACTCATCTGGCTGCATTTTCTCTTATTTTATAGAGGACATAATGAAGGCAAAAAGGATCTTACATTAAGATTAGCTCAAAATATAAGGACAGGCAGTCGACTCCCATGTCAGTTTCATTAAGTTGGAACCCGTTATTATCAATACATCCACTCTAACATCATCCACATTTTCTACCCGCCCATGGGGAAGTCATAGACTCACTAATGCTTGGTTGTTGTCGCTGAATCGGGTGAAGAGCTGATTAGTGGTATCGAACAGTGCTTTGCAGATAAGCTCAAACCATTCCCGGCGAGGTCCTCCCCAGTCCAGGGCTGAAAAGCATAATGAAAATAAAAAATGATCTTGGCCTACCTCCTTTTATCACTTTAACAACTTTTTTTTTTTTTTTTTTTTTTTGAGAGAGAGACTTTTGCTATACGAAAGTGAGAAATCATCCCCTAGTGGGGGATGGCCATGCCACAATCCCTTCTCTTCTAGGGATTTTAGACATGCACACACACATGTCTGGCATGAGTTTTAAGCCACTGGGTCTGAGACTTAAACCACAGTTGACCATGTGGGAGTAACATAGCCATTACACCATCTGCTGGTCCCTTAACAACAATTTTTAATTGACATATAATAGTTGTACGTATTTATAGGGTCAGTATGGCTTTTTAATGCTGTATACAATGTGTAATAATCAAATTAGGGCACAAGGCATATCCACCATCTCAAATAGTCATTATTACTTTGTGCTATGAACATTTGAAATGCTTTCTTTGGCTATTTTGAAATATACATGGAATTGGCATCAACTATAGTTAATGTTACTATACTGCAGTACTCCAAAACTTGTTCCAATTATCTCCTGTATCTGTTAACCAAGTTCTCCCGTTCTCCCTATTCCCTTTATCCTCCTCCCCATATCATTTCATTCTCTACCTTCATGAAATCAAATCTTTCAGTTTCCATTAATCTGTGAGAATATACGGTAGTAGTGACTGGCTTATTTGACTTAGCATTATTTCCTCAGGATTCCTCCATGTTGCCTCAAATGACAGTGCTTATCCTTTTTTCAGATCTTAATAAAAGGATGTGTATATATACCACAATTTCTTTATCCATCCAACAGCGGTTGGACACAAGTTGAGACCATACCTTAGCTAGTGTGACTAGCACTGCAATAACATGGGAGTGTAGGTATCTCTTGGACAAACGTTTCTTTTTCTTTGGGTATATCCCCTATCATTCCCTACAGTGGGATTACTGGGCTACAAGGGAATTCGATTTTTAGTTTCTGAGTAATCACCCTATTGTTTTCCATAACGGCTGTCCTCTTACCACTTCTGTTCACTGAGTCATCATTTTACATATTATATTCCCTTTATTCGACTCCCTTAATATTTCTACATTGAAACTCTCCTAAACTGTGGACTTCTTTGAACTCACACCCCTTTATGTAGGACTTAGGTATTCTGATCACTAGGCTAATGTCCCCTCATAGGGAAACACGAAAGGTCACAGAGTTCCCAGGAAATGGATATTACCTTAGTTCTACAAGTCACTTTGCCCTCCTGGCTCTAACTTTGAGCGCCCTCTCCCAAAACTTACATGTCTGTGCTCTACAAGATCCAAGACCCAACGTGTCATCTGTCCAATATACTTTACCCTTTTTTGTTGGTTCATGTTACTTTTTTCCTTTGGGAAAAAAAGCTATTTTTTTCTTTCTTTCTTTCCTTCTTTTTTTTTTTTATTTTTTGGTGAGAGGGAATAAGAGAGAGGGTGGGAATGAGGAGGAGAGTTAAAAAAAGATGAAAGTGCAATTTCAAAACTGACCTTCTTCATCCTGGAACACCACTTCAAAGTTCTTACTCCAATCTGAGATGGAGAAATTTCGAGTAGCTTTCAGAGACTGCAAAGCAGTGAAAAGAAGGAAATTGTTAAAACACTGGCTGGAATCCCTTGGATATTAAAGACAAAAACCACAAGAGCACGGACATCACCCAGTGATCTAACTACCACCACTTGAGACAGATATATTACTCACAAATAACCTTTAATACCATCTTATATTTTAAATGACATACCTCTAAAAAAATTTTAAGTTTAAAAAAATTTATCTTTTCACCATCACTTTGTTGTAAAGTTGAAGCTATTTGTTCTCTCTCTCTTTTTTATAATTCTTATTTTATTAATGAGAAAACTCATGCAATAAAGAAGTAAAAAAATGACTCAGTCAATAAGCTAAAAGCAAGAGAACCACGGAGTCCTGGTCTCAGTATAGTCTGTCCACAAGACATCTTTGTTCATAAGGCTAGGTTCAGGAAGGGAGCCAGGCTATGCAGAGAAGGTGATTGAGAAAAGGGGATTCCAGTCACATCGACCAAAGCCAAACATCACAAACACTCTCTGGCCAGGGATCAGGCCTGTCATTCTTGGGGAATGTAAGAAGTATGCCAGTGTCTGTGCAGTGGAGACAGACACACCTCAGGTGTTCCTTTTCCATCAGACCAAAGTGACAACAAAATCATTTCCTTTTAATCCAACAAAAGCTCCTCTATTTCAGGGATTTGATAACAAGTTCTTTTTTTTAAATTTATTATTTTTTTCCCTTTAATTTGCTATAGGACACTGGTGCTCAACCGAGGAGAGAAAGGGAGAGAGAGCAAGAAAAAGCTGCTAGGTCCAGGACTTGAACCATGCCCGGTCATGTGGGAGTCCAGCACTTAACCACCATGCCACCTCCTGGCCTCAATAATAAGTTCTGCAACCAATTCTATCTGCCCCACAGAGAAGTCCCATGAGACTGCTCATGAACTAGTTCTGAGCAGACTGAAAGCCAGTATCTCAGCTAGTCTCTGCCCTCAAGAACCTATCTGCAAGTCTGCTCCAAATTTAGTATAGTCCAACAAACAGAAGTTGATACATTTAAAGAGAGAACTCTAAGTTTGGTGAGAAAGATAACCAGCAGAATATAACCAAGAGGTAATAGGTGGAAAACTGGCATCTGCTGACAAAGATAAAACTACATACCGATTCCAAGAGGGCATGTCTGCTGACCTTCAGGGTGACTTTGGAATGTGGCCTTTTCATATGCACCTGCCGAAGCTCTCGCTGGAAGAAGTTCACCTTGTCCTGAAAGGTCTCAGAGCCTCCTGAGAAGCAGCAAGATCCATCATGACTACAAGCCAACTGAGGAGTCCCACCTCTATATCCTCAAATATGCAGGGAAGCCGGGATTGCTGCCTTCCCTGATCAACCTCACCTATGTTCTTATGAAGAGAGCGGATGAAAGTGGCTGCTAGAATGTTCCTCTCCTTACAGCTGAGCTCTACAGGAGGCTGAATGCCATCATCCACCACCAGTGTGAGGAGCTTATGGACAGGGTCAGGGCCAAGGTATGAAAACTAGCGAAGGGGAAAAAAGGAGTTAATCTATAAAACCCTCAAACCCAGTAAAAATGTGCAACAGCCCAACCCTCTGTACCAACAAACAAAACCAAGTTAAGCCTGCTTTCTCCAGGTAAGTACCCACAAGAAGTACATATCAGTACTCTACAATTCAAATTCAAATGTCATTTTTTTTTTTTGCTATAGGGCGCGTCCACTTACCAGATAGACAGAGAGACAGAGAGACAGAGAGACAGAAAGCGAGAAATCTCCCCCCAAGGGGGGATGGTCATGCCACAATCCCTTCTCCTCCATTCTCTTCTCAGGATCTTGGGCACGCACGCACACGCACCCGGCATGAGTTTTAAGTCACTCGGTCCGGGATGTGAACCGCGGTCGACTACGTGGGAATCCAGCGACATAGCCATCACGCTAACTGCTGGTCCCTCAAATGTCATTTTTAGTACGGGTCACAAGAAATACTACAGACCTTCCAACATAAGAGTGAAAGTATTGGGTTGTGGAAAAGTCATGACGTGTCTTCTGTGTCACGATTTTTCAGACAACCCAACAGTAAGGAAAAGTTGCCAGAAAAGGACTACTTCAAAACTAGGTAGAGGAAAAAAAAAAAAAAACTAGGTAGAGGGAAATGATTTTTATAAAATGATACACTGGGCTAGCAGGTAGCATGGTGGTTAAGGGCGCTGGACTCCCACATGTCTGACCAAAGGTTCAAATCTCAGACCTTGTGGCTTGCTTCCTCTCTCTCTCTCTCTCTCGCTCTGTCTCTCTTGCTCTGATCAAATTTTAAAAAATAATAAATAATTTTGAAAAATTAAAAATTAAAATTATATAGTCAAGCTGTTGGGCAAAAGCTTAGATTTCAGAAGTTCAAAGAAGTTAAAAACAGTTTTAAAAAAATATATGAGAGGGGCTGGCAGGTGGTAGGGTGGTTACAGATACTGGACCCCCACATGACTGACCAGTTTAAGCCCTAGACCTGGCGGCTTTCTCTCTTTTTCTTATTTTCTCTCTTTCTCTTTCTGTATTTCACTCTAATCAAATTTAAGACAACAATAATGATAAATAAGGGATTGACAGGTGATGTGGTGGTTAAGGGCACTGGACTCCCACATGGCCAACCGTGGTTTAAGTCCTGGACATGGTGGCTTGCTTTCTCACTTTCTCTTTCTCTCTCCTCTGTCCCTCTCTGGTCAAATTAAAATAGATAAGTAAATGGATAAAGAAAGTTAAATAAAATAATTCTTTAAAAAAAATAAATAATGATAAATAATATAACGTAAATACTGCTTCTAAAAGTTAGCTTTAGCCCATTGGAAATTCAAGCCTGAGCCAAAGAGGCCGACACTCTGTTAACTTAGTCTTGGAGACAAAAGATAACTGCTAAGTATTCTGAGTTGAAACTAACTTCTGTTTCTGTAGGCACGTCTCCTTCGAGAATTTATATATTCTTCATGTCATTTAGTGAAGAGATAATGATCCTTTATTTGGCAATGAATCTTGTATGCACAGTGAGGACTTCCAGAACACCAAAAGTCTTTCTGGGAAAAAGAAAAGGCTGAAACATTCCAGAGTTGAAGCTGCTCAGCAAGAACCAGATGTAAGGTTTCCACTCACCTTCGTTCCCGGGCACACTCGGAAGGTATAAAGGCGCCAGGGGATGATCTTCAGGTAGAACTCCTTCACTGAGAATTGCTGGAGGACCAACGTACAGAAAACAAGTCGATGAGAAAAAGACTCTACTGTAATTCAAACGTCACAATCCCTACCGACCATTTCCCATGATAACCTTTTTCTTCCATGGACAAAAATGGATAATAAGACCAAGTGTGTCAACTCTATCTTTAAAAGGGACAATGAAAAATATTACTCTGACAATGCAATTTCACACAGAGGCATTTTATAATCTTAATACTCAAGTCTTACTACAATTCTAAGTATCTAGGAGCAGGCTTTCACTTCACGTAGGGAACGTTTCCCTGGGAGAGAATCAAAATTTCCTTTTGCTCAGCCCAATGCCACTGGGTGGCTTCCTCCAAGTCCAAGCATGGAGAATGCCAGCAGCCCATATCTGCTTCTCCATCCCTATTTGCAAGGTACGAGAATTTACCAGGGAAGGAAAGGTAGGAAGACGGGGTAGGGGTCAGAGGCAGGAGTAGGGAGAAATGAGAGTCTTACATAAAAAAAGTTCTCAAAAATACCGAGAGTAAGAAGGGTCTCCTTATGCCATTTTCAGAAGAAGAAGAGACAGTACCATCTTTTTTGGAGGGAGAGGAGGCAGAGGTTTCTGCCTTAGGGCGTGTGTGCTCCATCAGAGAGAGAGAGACAGTGAGAGGGAAAGTGAGAAATCACCGCAATCCCTCCTCCTTTCTCTTCCTGGGATCTTGGACATGCACGCACACATGCCCAACATGAGTTTTTGTTTTTTGTTTTTTTGAGAGGTTTTTGCTATAGGGCTCACGCGCTCACCAGAGAGAGAGAGAGAGAAAGCGAGAAATCACCCCTCAGGGGGGATGGTCATGCTGCAATCCCTTCTCCTCCATTCTCCTCTCAGGATCTTGGACACGCACACACACACGCCTAGCGTGAGTTTTAAGTCACTGGGTCCGGGACGCGAACCGCGGTTGTCTACATGGGAGTCCAGTGACATAGCCATTACGCTAACTGCTGGTCCCCATGGTGGCTTGCTTTCTCACTTTCTCTTTCTCTCTCCTCTGTCCCTCTCTGGTCAAATTAAAATAGATAAGTAAATGGATAAAGAAAGTTAAATAAAATAATTCTTTAAAAAAAATAAATAATGATAAATAATATAACGTAAATACTGCTTCTAAAAGTTAGCTTTAGCCCATTGGAAATTCAAGCCTGAGCCAAAGAGGCCGACACTCTGTTAACTTAGTCTTGGAGACAAAAGATAACTGCTAAGTATTCTGAGTTGAAACTAACTTCTGTTTCTGTAGGCACGTCTCCTTCGAGAATTTATATATTCTTCATGTCATTTAGTGAAGAGATAATGATCCTTTATTTGGCAATGAATCTTGTATGCACAGTGAGGACTTCCAGAACACCAAAAGTCTTTCTGGGAAAAAGAAAAGGCTGAAACATTCCAGAGTTGAAGCTGCTCAGCAAGAACCAGATGTAAGGTTTCCACTCACCTTCGTTCCCGGGCACACTCGGAAGGTATAAAGGCGCCAGGGGATGATCTTCAGGTAGAACTCCTTCACTGAGAATTGCTGGAGGACCAACGTACAGAAAACAAGTCGATGAGAAAAAGACTCTACTGTAATTCAAACGTCACAATCCCTACCGACCATTTCCCATGATAACCTTTTTCTTCCATGGACAAAAATGGATAATAAGACCAAGTGTGTCAACTCTATCTTTAAAAGGGACAATGAAAAATATTACTCTGACAATGCAATTTCACACAGAGGCATTTTATAATCTTAATACTCAAGTCTTACTACAATTCTAAGTATCTAGGAGCAGGCTTTCACTTCACGTAGGGAACGTTTCCCTGGGAGAGAATCAAAATTTCCTTTTGCTCAGCCCAATGCCACTGGGTGGCTTCCTCCAAGTCCAAGCATGGAGAATGCCAGCAGCCCATATCTGCTTCTCCATCCCTATTTGCAAGGTACGAGAATTTACCAGGGAAGGAAAGGTAGGAAGACGGGGTAGGGGTCAGAGGCAGGAGTAGGGAGAAATGAGAGTCTTACATAAAAAAAGTTCTCAAAAATACCGAGAGTAAGAAGGGTCTCCTTATGCCATTTTCAGAAGAAGAAGAGACAGTACCATCTTTTTTGGAGGGAGAGGAGGCAGAGGTTTCTGCCTTAGGGCGTGTGTGCTCCATCAGAGAGAGAGAGACAGTGAGAGGGAAAGTGAGAAATCACCGCAATCCCTCCTCCTTTCTCTTCCTGGGATCTTGGACATGCACGCACACATGCCCAACATGAGTTTTTGTTTTTTGTTTTTTTGAGAGGTTTTTGCTATAGGGCTCACGCGCTCACCAGAGAGAGAGAGAGAGAAAGCGAGAAATCACCCCTCAGGGGGGATGGTCATGCTGCAATCCCTTCTCCTCCATTCTCCTCTCAGGATCTTGGACACGCACACACACACGCCTAGCGTGAGTTTTAAGTCACTGGGTCCGGGACGCGAACCGCGGTTGTCTACATGGGAGTCCAGTGACATAGCCATTACGCTAACTGCTGGTCCCTCCAACATGAGTTTTAATCCACCAGGTCCAGGACTCGAACCACAGCAAGCCATGTGGGAGTCCAGTGACGTAACTGCTACGCCATCTGCTGGCCCCACAATCACTTTTCAAAATGGAAAACAAAAACAAACAAAAATATTCCTGTTATCTGAATGTGTAGCAGGTCATATTTTTTTGTTTTAATAAAAGCTCTTCATTAAAGAAAATTTCACATACGTATTGAAGAAAACATAACGAACCCATGACCAGTTTCAGTGAGTATTAATTCATAGCTTATCTTGTTTCATTTATTCACCCCACCCACTTCCCTCATTACCCCACCTTTCAGTCCAAATTAGGACTAGACCATAAAACAAAAAATGGCACACAGCAAAGTGTTATAAAGTAGAACAGAATTAGAACCCAGTTTGGGGTATGAGATTAAAGGGATGTAAATGGGATGTTTCAACAGAGTCTCACTTTCATGAGGACTGAATAAGAAGATACAACTATTAAAATAAAACTCCCAAACACAAAGCCCCTCTGAGCTTAAGGGCTTGGGAAATTCACCTTCTTGTCTCTGCCAACATTTCTTTACTCCAATCCTGTAGCCTGAGAGTGATATTCACTGACTGAGGTTTCACAAGTCACAGACTGAAAGATCAAATTGTTTTGATACAACACAAGAGGCCAACAGTGATTTTCATGCTACTCAGACATTTTTAATGCTTCAAAGTAGCTTTCTCTACATCTCTGGAAGCCATGCCTTGGAAAATCTCCCAGAAACAATCAAAAGGCAGAATCCTACAGGTCCTCTAGAGCTCCAAGGTGCAGAGAATCCCAGACAGAAACTATGTCTAGTCTAAAGCAAACACAACCGCGGCAGAGGTGACACAGTCCTCCGCTCCCTGGCAAATAGACTGCCTTAGTACCCAGAAACCCAAGTGACCTTGTCCTGATACTCGAGACTGCAACTTCATGGTTTCAGTTACCAAATGCTAATCATATACTGCCTCAGCCAGAAGGATGTTAAGGTAAGAATGGGCGTTCCAACCTTTGGTGACACATAGCAGTACACCTTCTTGGGTTTCTTCACCTTCTCAGGAGTGTGGCACTCAGAGGGTGAGTCTTCATCTTCCTCGTCCACAGCTGTGGAAGGCCGGCGCTGGGAAGAGCTCATGTGCATGGGTGGGAGGTGCCACGGTGCACTGCTACAGTTGGTAGCATTATAAAGATAAGCCTCAAAGTAAATGCTCACTCCTGAGGTGGATACATTACGTTCGACAATATTCTTCTCATTCTCTGAAATACAACGAAGAATAAGGATTCAAGTAAGAATGACCCATCAGTAGTTCTTTAGTTCACAGAACACTAAGCCTAGTGTGGCGCCCACATCAAGTGTTTGCAAGGTCGTTCAGAAAAATGCAGACATTGAAAGTAGTGGCTGGGAAATAGGACTGAATCGCAGCTCTTCTCATAACTTACCAGTTAGGACAATAATGTCAAATTCGCCATTATTGATTGGTTGATTTTGGTATGAAATGCAGGCATGGAAGCAACCACGAGAATGCAAGGTGAGTCGCAAGAACACCTGGCAAGTCTGCCTGTTGGATGTCACTGACTTCTCAAACGAGACACCAGTACTCTCTTCTTCTTGAGGGCCAAGCTACCGGAAGAAAGAAATCATCACTTCGCATTTATGACTTTCTCCTTTGCAAGGCAATTTATACTTTACAGAGAAGTTTCTTTCTATGACTTAATCTAAATCTCATGATTACTAATGAGTTAAATGAAGATACAAAGTCAGAGAGAGGGAAACAAGAGACAAGAGTGAATTTGATGGGATGAGAATGACAGAGTAAGGAGCCTGTTCTCCCTTGTGTACAGAGAAAGAAGGAAAGTCGCTTACCTCATGAATGGACAAACTGTAATTGTGCTCATCTCTCAAGGATGTGGAATTGTTGGTAGGGTTGTCGTACTCATCTCGGGGCACTATTTGAAGGGTATGCGGCTGGCCACAGGTCAAAACAAGAGTAGAAAAATGGCAGACGATTTTGGTCTTGGAAGGAACCACCATTCCTGGAACAAAGACAATGGAATTTAATGTTGAGAGGTAGTCTTCAGAGCACAAAGAACTGCTCAGTGAGTCCTATAGCACTTAATTCCCTCCCAATTCCTGGATATAAATAACACTACAAAGAGGAAAAGAAAAAGAAATAGATTAAATCAAATTAATTTTGGGAGCTCATTTTTACGAATTCTCAACCACTTCATTTTGAGTAAAGAACTTGGAAGAAACAGAACTGAGAGTTACAGATACAGAGTCCCACTGCAAACTTATCAGTGAGGTGGGTCTTAAAAATAAGAGCTGACCAATCACAAAACAAACATAAAAACCCATTAAATACTTATATGCAAATCTAACAAAATATATATAAGACTGACACACTAAAAACAACAAAGTGCTAATGAAAGAAACGAAAAAGATCTATATACTAAATAAACATATCATGTTTATGAACTAGAAAAGTGAACACAGTATAGAAGTTAACCATTTAGAAAATGCCAATTAAGGGACCAGCAGTTGGTGTAATGGCTATGTTGCTAGACTCCCATGTAGTCAATCGCGGTTCGAATCCCGGACCCGGTGGCTTAAACTCACGCCGGGCACATGTGCATGCATGCCCAAGACCCCAAGAGGAGAATGGCAGTGTGGCCATTCTCCTTGGGAGGGGTGATTTCTGGCTTTCTGTCTCTCTCTGTCTCTATCTTTCTGGAGAGCGCACATGCCATATAGCAAAAACCTCTCCAAAAAATATAGAAAAGAAAATGCCTATTAAAACTACAACACTACTTATCAGAATGGCTAAAATAAAAAACTATTTAACGTATTAAATATTGGTGAGTATGTGAAGTAACTAGATCTATTATACATTGCTGGGCAGAATATAAATAGCCACTCTCTAACAGTTAAGCAATTTTTTTTAAGAGAGTATTTTTGCTATAGGGCATGTGCACCCACCAGAGACAGACAGACAGACAGACAGAAAGCAAGAAATCACCCCCCCGCCCCCCCAGGGGGGATAGCCACACCACAATCACTTCTCCATTCTCCTCTCGGGATTCTGGACATGCACGTACCTGGTGAGAGTTTTAAGCTGCTGGGTCTGGGAATCAAACCACTGTCAACTACATGGGAATCCAGTGATGTAACCATCACATTATCTGCTGGTCTCATGGAAGAATTTAGCAATTTATAAAACAACAACAACTAAGCATACAACTACCATACATCTCAGCAACTGCATTTCTGGGCATTCATACCAGAGAAATGAAAACGTGTATCCACATAAAAACTTGTACATGAATGTTTATAGCAGTTTTATTCGTGAGAGCGAAAAACTGAAAACACCACCAGTACAGTGTCTTTCAGTGAGTGAACAGTTAAACAAATTGTGGTACCGAATGAACATCCCTAATCTGAAATTCCAAAATGCTTCAAAATCTGAAACTTTTTGAACTCTGACAAGACATCACAAGTGGAAAATTCCAAGCCTGACCTCATGTAATGGGTCACAGTCAAAATGTTGCAATACAAAAATACTGTATAAAATTATCAACAGACTATGTTTGCAAGGTATATATGAAATGCATTTTATGTTTACATTTGGGTCCCATCTCCAAGATATCTCATCATGTTCATGAAAACATTCCAAAATCTCTCTGTCTCTATCTTTCTGGAGAGCGCACATGCCATATAGCAAAAACCTCTCCAAAAAATATAGAAAAGAAAATGCCTATTAAAACTACAACACTACTTATCAGAATGGCTAAAATAAAAAACTATTTAACGTATTAAATATTGGTGAGTATGTGAAGTAACTAGATCTATTATACATTGCTGGGCAGAATATAAATAGCCACTCTCTAACAGTTAAGCAATTTTTTTTAAGAGAGTATTTTTGCTATAGGGCATGTGCACCCACCAGAGACAGACAGACAGACAGACAGACAGACAGACAGACAGACAGACAGACAGACAGACAGACAGACAGACAGAAAGCAAGAAATCACCCCCCCGCCCCCCCAGGGGGGATAGCCACACCACAATCACTTCTCCATTCTCCTCTCGGGATTCTGGGCATGCACGTACCTGGTGAGAGTTTTAAGCTGCTGGGTCTGGGAATCAAACCACTGTCAACTACATGGGAATCCAGTGATGTAACCATCACATTATCTGCTGGTCTCATGGAAGAATTTAGCAATTTATAAAACAACAACAACTAAGCATACAACTACCATACATCTCAGCAACTGCATTTCTGGGCATTCATACCAGAGAAATGAAAACGTGTATCCACATAAAAACTTGTACATGAATGTTTATAGCAGTTTTATTCGTGAGAGCGAAAAACTGAAAACACCACCAGTACAGTGTCTTTCAGTGAGTGAACAGTTAAACAAATTGTGGTACCGAATGAACATCCCTAATCTGAAATTCCAAAATGCTTCAAAATCTGAAACTTTTTGAACTCTGACAAGACATCACAAGTGGAAAATTCCAAGCCTGACCTCATGTAATGGGTCACAGTCAAAATGTTGCAATACAAAAATACTGTATAAAATTATCAACAGACTATGTTTGCAAGGTATATATGAAATGCATTTTATGTTTACATTTGGGTCCCATCTCCAAGATATCTCATCATGTTCATGAAAACATTCCAAAATCTGAATATATCCAAAATCTTAAACACTCCTAATTCCAAGCATTTTGATCTGTACCATGAAATACTCAGCAATAAAAAGGAACCAAATACTGATACGCACAACAACCTGAATGAATCTCCAGAAAATTATGCTAAATGAAAAAAAGTCAGTCTCCAGGGGTTAAAAGTCAGGACCAGCAACTGGTGTAATGGCTACGTCATTGGATTCCCATGTAGTTGACCACGGTTCAAGTCCTGGATCCAGTGGTTTAAACTCACACCGGGCACACTGCGTGCATGCCCAAGATCCCAAGAGAATGGAGGAGAAAGGACTGCGGCATGGCCATCCCCCCCGGGGGGGTGATTTCTCACTTTCTGTCTGTCTGTCTCTGTCTTTCTGGTGCACACACGCACTCTATAGCAAAAACCTCTCCAGAAAAAAGGTTAAAAGTCAATTCTGGGGCTGGCAGGTGGTGTGTTGCTTAGAGGCGCTGAACTCCCACATGACCAACCACGGTTTGAGTCCTGGACCTGGTAGCTTGCTTTCTCACTTCCCCTTGCCCACCCCCCCATCCCATCTCTCTCTGATCAAGCTAAAAAATAATGGTAATGATAAAATTAAATAAAGTGATTCTTCGAAAAAAAAAAAAGTCAATCCCCAAAGGCTACATACTATATGATTCTACTTATTTAGCAAGTGTGTGTGTGTGTGCCCAGAATCCTAAGAGGAGAATGGAGAAGGGATTGCAGCATGGTGATCCCCCTGGGAGTCTGCTTTCTCACTTTCCCTCTGCCTCTCTCTGATGAGTGCACATGCCCTACAGCAAATTTAAAATAATAAAATAAAACATATCAGCCTAGTACTGAAAATGCCATGGGAAAAAAAAATGCAAAAACAAAACCAAAAAAGAGAGAGAGAGAGAGAAGAGAAGAGAAGAGGAGAGAAGAGAAGAGAAGAGGAAAGGAAAGGGAAAAGAAACGAAAAGAAACAGACTGGGGGGGGGGATGAGTGTGACTATAAAAGGTCACCATGTAGGCTCCTTGGGGTGACAGAGATGTTCTGTATCTTGACTTAATCATGGTCAACAATCTGGCTGTGGTGTTATACCACAGTTTATTTTCTTTATAATTTGCTTTATGGCACATGTGCTCATTGGAGAGACAGAGAAAGAGTGAGAGAGGCAGGGGAGAGAGAAAGAAAGGATAAGAGTAAAGGCAAGGGCAATGGAGAGGGAAAGTCAGAAAGCACCCACCCTGGGGGGATGGTCATACCACAATTCCTCTGTTCTTCTGTCAGGATCCTGGGCATGCCCACACACATGCTTGTGTATGTTTCAAGTCACCAGGTCAAAGACTAAAGACAAGGGGCCGGCAGGTGGTGTGGTGGTTGGTGTGGTGGTTGAGGGTGGACTCCCACATGGCCAACAGTGGTTCAAGTCCTGGACCTGGCACTGCACTTGCTTCTTTCTCTCTCTCAATCTGTCCCTCTCTGGTCAAAACAAATAAATAAATAAAGTTAAATAAAATAATTCTTTAAGAAAAAAAAAAAGACTAAAAATGACACAGTTGGCCACGTGGGACTGCAGCCTTAACCACCACGCACCAGGTGGCCCCTGTAGTACAGTTCTGAAAGATGCTACCATTGAGAGAAACTGGATAAAGAGTACACTAGATCTCTGTATTATTTCTTTCTAAAAAAAAAATTATGCATTAACTTTATTTATCATTTTTTAATGATGAAATGCTCTAAAACTTTGACTGTGGCTAGGGCTACACAACTGCGAATTTTAAAACCATCAAATTGTGTATTTTAAACGGCATGTGAATGTCTCAAGACATAATATTAAAAAAAGAAGAGAGGGGAGCAGCAGTTGACGTAATGGCTATGTTGCTGGACTCTCATGTAGTCAACCGCAGTTTGAGTCCTAGACCCGGTGGCTTAAACTCATGCCAGGTGCATGTGCGTGCGAGTCCAAGATCCCAAGAGGCAAATGGAGGAGAAGGGATTGTGGCATGACCAGAAATCACCTGGCGGGTGATTTCTCATTTTCTGTCTCTCTGTTCTTCTGGCAAGCGTACATGCCTTATAGCAAAAACCTCTCTCAAAAAAAAAAAGAACCAGCAGTTAGCGTAATGGCTATGTTGCTGGACTCCCACGTAGTCGACCGCGGTTCGCGTCCAGGACCCGGTGGCTTAAAACCCACACCGGGCGTGTGTGCGTGCGTGCCCAAGATCCCGAGAGGAGAATGGAAGAGAAGGGACTGTGGCGTGACCATCCCCCATGGGGGGTGATTTCTCGCTTTCTGTCTCTCTGTCTCTCTCTGTCTGGTGAGCGCACATGCCCTATAGTAAAAAATCTCTCAAAAAAAAATTAGAGAAAGAAAAAAATTTAAAAAATAAAAAATTTAAAAATTTTTAAAAAGAAGAAGAAGAGAGAGGGGCTAGCAGGTGACAGGTGGTTAAGGCATTGAATTCTCATGTAGTAGCCAACCAAGATCTGAGTCCCAAAGCTGGCAGTTTATGAAAATCATAATAAATCGATGAATAGATACATAGATAGATAAATGTAAAAAGAAGAGAAAAGAAAGCAAGAAAGCAAGAAAAGAAGGAAGGAAGGAAGGAAGAAAGAAAAGAGAAGAAGAAGGAGGAGAAGAGAAAGAATGGGCCGGCAGATGGCATGGAGCTTAAGGTGTCTGAGTCCCATGTGGCTGAATGTGCAATTCAAGTCCCAGACCCTGAGGCTTGGGAAACAACACCGGGCACATGTCCATGTATGTCCAAAATCTTGAGAGGATAATAAAGGAGAAGAGATTGCAGTGTGGCCATTCCCTCTGGAGGGTGATTTCTCACTTTCCCTCTTTCTCTCTGGTAAGTGCATATGCCCCACAGCAAAAAAAAAAAAAAAAAAAAAAGCGTGCGGAAAAAAAACGAAAAGCTGCGGAGGCAAGAACGGATGGAGTGAGTACAAGAAAAACAGGGAGAGAAAGGGAGGAGGAAAGAAAAAAGAACTTACCAGGCTGAAAAATTTTGTAATAGGGACTATAGGCCACATTTAATCCACCAAGCTTCACTGTGATTTCGTAACGCCCAGCCTTGCGCACAGTGAAGGCCACTTTTACCACATTGGAATTGGGCTCCTGAAGAACTTCCTGGGTCACTGGAATTTCCACTGCTAGCTCGACGTGAGAGATGTGAACTCTTAATCCCACAGGCCGATGTGCAGGGAAAGGCTGCCCGTTCTTATAAAATAACTGCAGTAGGAGAAAGGGAAGCCCATTAGTGAGCACAAGGAGAAAAAGAAAACCACTTACCACGTCACTAGGGAGAATGTGGGAGAGAAGAGGCAGCAGGCAGAGATCACACTAGTAACCCCAGGACCTACCCGCTCCTTATAGTCCTGTTCATAGAAATATGGACAATTCCCTCAACAGTCCAAAGAAAACCACTGACTCAGGAGCAAAGCTTTAACCTGTTCCCAGGATGGGGTAGACTATACCTCTGATTCAAACTTTCGATTTCAACTCAATGTTTCTAAACCACCACTGCTGCCTCCTCATCTTCCCAGCCCTTTCTAATATCTAATCACTATAATCCACAGTTGAGGCAGTCAGCCTAGATTGGCGCTGAGTGAACCGGAGCACCGGGCATAGAGAGGAGAGTTCAGGCTCTCAAGGCAAACGCAATGCTACAGTGGAGAAGTCTGCATGGGAGTCAGCCAACTCTGCAAAGTGCCAGAGAGTAAATACTTTTGGCTTTGTAGACCAGACACAACTATGCAACTACCCTAACTACTGGACCTGAAAGCAGCCCCAGTCAATCCATGACAATTGGGTGTGGCTTTGCTCCAATAAAACTGCATTTATGAAACAGAAGGTAGACCTGATTTGGCCCTCAGGCCAGTTTGCCAACTCTTGACCTCTAACACTATTCTTTCTGGTGATATGTTTCTCATTTTGAAAAAAAACATTAAGCTTTATCCTTCTTCAAAGTTAAGTACCTATTTAACCAAAATGATAGAGAAATTCATGCCTCCTCAGACATGAACAATTCCCAAGTTCCTGGGAGGGACTGAAAAACAAGGGAAAATGTTAACACTCCAGTCAGCACCACCAACAGACTGAACTGGGCTCTGAAAAGCAAGTGACTCAGAAACCCCAATGGGTATGGAGACAGAAACATTCCCTTACATGCACTCGGAAGGCCATGCTGTGGCCCACCTCATAGGGGTCCTTCCAATCCCAGGAGACTTTGCAAGACCGGGGATCCAGGTAATTTCCCCGCACGTAGTCATAAATCGTCCGGTCCCCTCGACGCTCACGGTCCTCATTTTGGAGGAAGCTGACTACACGTGCGGCAAGCTCAAAGAGGAACTTAATTGTGAAGAAGAATGCAACCACAGACACTGTGATTCCACCTGTGTAAAGAGAGAACACACAAGCCACCTGTCAGTTACACAGCAGCTTTTCATTCAGAACAGGACAGGCATCTCCCACAAATTAAAGAAGTCAGGAGAGGGTTGCAAACATTCTCCTGGCTTACTACCTCTGTGGGTGAAGAGAACTTTATAACAGGGGTAACTACAGCTCCCAGGCCAAATCCCACCCATTGCCTGGTTCTGTCAAGGCCTACTGGAACTCACCATACCCTCTGGTTTTCAGATCATGGCTGTTTTTGTACCATACCAGTGGAGCTGAGTGCTTAATGCGACTGCATGGCCTTCGAAACCAGAAACATTCACACTCTGGTCTTTACAGAGAAAGTTTGCCAACCCTTGCTCTATACCATGAATGACAGCTAATGCTATTACCCCCCTCCCCAACGCCTCCTGCTCGTGCTGGCCCTCGCAGAAGCAGTAAAAAGAATGTGCATTCAGTACCCTCCACTTAAGAAGCCTTCCTCTCCCTTGACCTCTAGGCAAAAGTCAATTCCCCAATTCCCCCCAGATTTAGGGGTTCCCTTGTCTGGGCTCCCTCAGACTCCTCAATATGAACCTACTATAACTTTTCTCTGCCTCGACCATTTACCCCATTCATGTTCTGAACTCCTTGAAGGGAGATTTTTGCCTTATTCGACTTTGACTCCACTATAAACAGTGTCTGGCACTGACTGCAATTACTCAATAAACATTTCCCAAATGAATGAATTCTCACTGCCAATTCCATAAAGGTACATTCTGGCATAACTGCAAATATTTCTAGCTCTATTTTTAAAGGGAAAGGGGAGAGACAAAGAGGCAGACAGGACTTAAACAACCCTAACAATAAGATACAAAAAGAAAACTCTTTCTGTAACGTACCAATAACGTAAAACATCAGGTCCCTTCAAAGCCAACAGACAGCCGAGGATCACAGCTGCAGCTGCAAGAGAAAACATGTTCAGTTTTTTTCTCCAGCTCTTCTTTATAGACATCTCAGGGTGAGACAGAGTAGATAAAGCCTTGTTATTTCTGTCTTCTCTCTAGTTTGACAGGTACCCTAGCATTTCAGACAAAGTGTATTATT